TGAGAACTGATACCCTAAGCTGCAGGTCTGCTGGGACCCGGCCCTGGAGGAGCCCCAGGAAAGCTTTAACCTTGGGGCTCTAGGCTGTCAGGAAGGGCGACGGGAGGAGGGCAGTGGGGGCCTCCCCAGTAAGACGCTGCCTCCTCCCTCCCTTGCACCTGGGTCAGTGTCAAGAACACGTCTTCTCTCAGTGGGTCATCGCCGCTCAGACGTGGGTCCTGGGCAGCCTCCCCCCACCCCCAGTCCTCAGGCTGGACGGCAGCACGAGGTCACCTTGTCCACTCCCTTCCCCCATCTCTCGGCACACCCTCTTTGAACAGGGTCTGGATGTTCCCATTTTAAAGCTCTTAGGAAAGGGACATTCCCAATCTGCCAACCATCCCATATCTAAGTGACTCACGATGAGCCTGGTGCCCGGGAGGAGCTGGTCTTGGAGTCAGGAGACCTGGGTCATTTGGGGCCATTTCTGGGCCCGGGGTTCCTAATCTGTGAGGTGGTAATCCTGTTAGGTGCTGCATCACGGGGTGGTTACGGGGATGACCTGAGGCACGAATGTAAAGGGCTTTGTGAACAATAAACGTGATGTAAATCATACGTGTGATGGGCGGGGATGGGAGGGAGGGCAGAGGCCTGGCCTCTACCCTTCCTTCTGCAGCTGCAGCCTGATTAGCTGCTGAGGTTCACCTGGAGACCTGCCCCCCGCCCCCATGACAGCCGTGGCAGGGTCCCTCAGCCCTGTCTCTCGGCAGACTGATCGCCGCTCCTACGGTCTTGGCCCATACATTCACCCAGAGCTGCTTTCACTCTAGGATGTGTGGGGGGCACCTTGAGACCATCACTACCAAGCCCTGAGCCAGATATTTGCAGAGCTGTTGGGCCGTGTTGGCCGAGCATCTAGAGATGCTGGAGGTTTTCCAAGTGTGAGTGTTACTGGGGGTTTGGAGGGGTAGGGGCTCTGGCACAGGAACATCCGTGGGCTGTTCACAGACTTTGTCGCTTATGTTTTCTCATCTGATCCTTAGTCTCTGAAGCGGGGTCCGCTGTCTCGTTGAGAGCTGATCGAGTAGGTTACAGGTTGATCTCCAGCGTGCGCACCAGGCCGGCCTTCCTGCCGGGGATCCGAGAGGCGGGAATGGGATTCCGTTCCAAGATAGCAAGGATTAGGTGTAAGAAAACGGAAAGACACACACGTGAACTGGGTGCTTTTGAGGTACCTTGGTGCTTTGGGGGGCACAAGGACCCCATGATCACAAAGCAGAGGAGGGGCCCCAGTGAGGTCTTGGGCTTCTCTAGGTTCCTCCTTTCCCCACTGGAATGATGAGGAGATTGGAAAAGAGGTTCCGTGATCCCTTCTAGTTCTTGCTTCCTTGATGGGGATCTGGTTTCTCCCACCACCCCTGCCAAGGCATGCCCCTCCGCATCCCTGTAAAGCCTTTCTGGAGCAGTGGGGGCTTTGGTGGGTGGACAGATGTCCAGGGTAACATCATCGCTGTGAGGAAGAAAGCCCCTGATCCTGCAGCCCAGGACAGAAGAAACCAGAGTCAGAGGGAGGCTTTGCCTTCACCCCCATGGGTCTCAGTCGCGGCTTACAGGCTCAGGGGGCGCTCCCTCCAGAAGCTGCACTGGAAAATAACAACTGGGCAAGCGACCGCACTGAGCCGACTCCTCGGCGCAGAGCCGGGCAGGCCCCAGCCCCTGGCACTTGCTCCAGGGCAGTGTCTGGGCAGAAGATGTGCTGGCCGCTGGCTGCACTGGCTTAAAGGGAAGTGCAGGGCTCCCAGGACATTGTGTCGTCCGCCTCTTCACCCAAAATGGGAGTGCGGAGAGCCTGGGATCTGTTCTTACTCCAGGTGCAGGGAGCAGTGCCGGCACAGAAGGCACCCGTGTTTGGTGCTCTGCTGAGCAAATGTACCCACGTGTGCGTGCGTGTGAGTACCTGGGTGGCCACAAAAGCTCCGTGAGCATTAGGTATCTTTCTGAGAATAATTCTTCCATTAGCTTGGGGACGCAGAGCTGGTGCATGAGCAGACGCCCTCAGGAGATGAGCACTGTGCTGTGATTGGGAAGGGGAAGGGGAGGTAAGCTGGGAAGGGGAAATGGGGACACTGGTGGGGCAGGGCCGGAAGGAGGAAGCTGTGGAAGGCTTTTTGGCCTAAGTGGAAGAGGGCTTCACCAATGATCTGGCTGTTTTGGGTCAGCGTGGCTCAGGAAAGTGCTGCCACCTTCCATGGGGCCTTGAGCAGCTCACGTGATACTTTCAACCCCCACTTCGTCCTCTGTCAAGGCTTTCCTACCTTGCAAGGACCGTCACACAGCAAGGATGAGGGGACCAATAGCTATGTGCCGGGCACATGTGACTGAGTTTTACTCTGGTGATTTTATTGGTACTTCTGCAGGAGGTCCTTTATTATTTTCCGTGATGATTTTTATCTTGATTTTTTTGTTCTTCATGATTTTTACGTGAACCAGGTTTCCCATCTGCTGCAGGCGGGATGGCCAGGGTGTCGCAAGCTCTGGCCCAAATCGTAGATCCTGAAGTCTTGGACCTCTAGCCAAACCCTAACTCCCCTCTCCCTGGGCCCTGGCTGGGAAGGGGCCCTCCTCTCAGAGACCCCTGGGGACTGGCGGAGACTAACGGGGAGGACTCACACTCTGCCCTCCCCTCCCCCAGGTACAAGACGGTGGTGACTCCCCGGAGGGCGGCGGTGGCCATCGCTGGCTGCTGGATTCTCTCCTTCGTGGTGGGCCTGACACCCCTGTTCGGCTGGAACAGGCTGGGGGAGGTGGAGAGGGCCTGGGCGGCCAACGGCAGCGAGGGCGAGCCTGTGATAGAGTGCGAGTTCGAGAAGGTCATCAGCATGGAGTACATGGTCTACTTCAACTTCTTTGTCTGGGTGCTGCCCCCGCTGCTGCTCATGGTCCTCATCTACCTGGAGGTCTTCTACCTGATCCGCAAGCAGCTCAACAAGAAGGTGTCTGCCTCCTCTGGGGACCCGCAGAAGTATTACGGGAAGGAGCTGAAGATCGCCAAGTCGCTGGCCCTCATCCTCTTCCTCTTCGCCCTCAGCTGGCTGCCTCTGCACATTCTGAACTGCATCACCCTCTTTTGCCCTTCCTGCCGGAAGCCCAGCGTCCTCATCTACATTGCCATCTTCCTCACTCACGGCAACTCAGCCATGAACCCCATCGTCTACGCCTTCCGCATCCAGAAGTTCCGGGTCACCTTCCTTAAGATTTGGAATGACCATTTCCGCTGCCAGCCCTCACCCCCCATTGATGAGGACCCCCCAGAAGAGGGGCCTCACGACTAGACTCCACCTTCTGCTCCCACCTGGCTGCCCACATCGGGGGCATCAGCCCAGTCCCACCTCCCCACTGGTCCCACTCCTGAGCCTTCCTGGCAGGGCTGTGAGGTGTGGGTGCCCTGCAGCTCGGGTCCTGGAGAAGGTTTGGGAGGGCGGTCCGTGGGGAAAGAACCAGGGAACCTGAGGAGAGGAGGAAAGTGGCTTGAGCCTCCCCAGCCGTGTGACCATCATGCGGGCAGCCCAGAGCTTTGGGCTGGATGGACCTGGGGAGCCTGAGGCTGCAAAGGGGCCATGTGGGCTGGGAGGGCAAGCTGGGGTTCCCATGGCAGTCGGGGGAGCCTGCTTGTCTCTGGTGGTAGTGAGGCAACCCTGGGAAGCCTAAGGAAAGGAGAGGATCCCCTCCAAGATGGAGGGCGGGAGAGGAACTGGACATCGTGGTCTTGCCTTCTCTTCTTGCTGTGGGAGAAGTTGGTAGAGCCACTGAGAGGCAGGAATCAAGGAGCCTCAGTGTCCGCCCCCCCCAGGACCCTGAGCTCCTAGCCATGCTGGGTGCCTGGGTGCCTGCTCTCCCTGCCCTGGAGAGCCCAGGTTTATACTTGGGAGAGGCAGAAAGAGCAGGTCCAGAAATCATTCCCAACTTTTGCTTTATTCTCCACGAGCCCTGGGACCCTGAACTGGGGTGGGGCTCCAAGCCCCTTGGAGCTCATGTGGAGTTGAAGTGCAGGCCTCACACAGCCACCAGGTGGCAGCACTGAGCCCTTGCTCTGGCCCCGGCGTCCCAAGAAGGGGCCTGGGCGGTAACTACCTGTCCACTGGGCCCTGATGAAGGCCTGGACTCGCTTAAGTGACACCCATCTCTGCTGTTTCTGGGCCAGATGGAGAGGAAAGCCCCAGACATGACAACACGAAGGAGCATTAAGCCTGCTTGCGGAGGGGGTGGACAAGGGAAAGTGCTGGGGTGACTTGTGCCAGGCTGGAACAGGCCAGGGGAGACCACACCGCTGAGGCGGAGGCAGAAAGAGCTTGCTGGCATTTAAATGTCCCCAGCATCCCGGCACTGAGCACAGTTCTCAGGGGCTTTGGGGCTCTGTGGCACGGCGTAGGCTTTAGAGCATCTAGGGATTGTCCACCCTCTGCCAAGATGGGGGGCGGGGCTTGTACAGAGGGGAGGGGGCGGGTTCTGCGCGTGATTCCAGGCCTCGCCCGTTCTTGGAGGTGGGATGTTCCCTGGGAGGGCCTCCTGACTAATAAAGACTGTGAAACTTGATTGACGGCATGCCCCTGGGTACCCACCTCCACCACCATCTGAGGGCAGCAGAAGACCTCAGCAGAGGAGAGCAGTGGTGGCATGGGGGAGAAGCACAGACCAGACCGAAGCCGAGGGGGGGGGGGGGGGGGGGGGGGGGGGGGGAGGGGAGATATGGAGGCATTCAGAGCAAGGAAGTTTCCAGAGAAGAGTGTGTCTCTTTCTATAGCTATGCTCTCGGCATAGCAAACCCTGAATGTGAAAGCCAGATGCTAAAAAATCTCCTGTCTGGAAACCTGGAAACCCCCCTTACATCCTGAGTCCCCTCCCACTGGCACCTTCCTCCTGGTGTCATATGTGGAGACCTCCTCGCGATGACGCGCTCCACCCCGCTCGCTGTGACACAACCCTTCCTCCATCACAACGATGCTCACCATCAGAGGCCCCGGCACTGGAACACATCACACACTTTTATTTGAGCGGTTCTCACCCAGAATGCACCGCTCTGCAGGGGCACTCCAATCTTTGCATCTCCAGGCCCCCTTGTGCCCAGGAAGCCTGGCCTGGGGCCTGCCAGGCCTACTCCTGGCTCCTGGGCTCTGGCCTCCGGGGGAGGGAGACTAGGCAGGTACCAGGGAGCAAAGCCCTCAGCCGTCACCATGGAAACGGGGCTCTGGGGCATCTGTGGAGCTTGATTCTGAGTCTTGTGGGCCCGACCCCCCAGGTCTGCAGCACCTGGCAGAGAACACACTTCATGAGCCCAGGGTTTGACAGAGCTGGACTCTACCTGTCCTGCTGAAGCAGTGAGACGGGGCAGAGGGACACAGAGACCCTCTTTCCTTCCCAGGCTTCCCGCCGCAAGGGCCCAATGCCCAGCGATTACTCTGCCCCTGCAGTTTGGGATCCTCCCCTACTTGTCTGGAGCCTCAGAACCATCTGGGAGGGAAGGTGGGACACAGGTTGTTGTCCCCTCTTTGCTGAAAAGGAAACAGGCTCAACGGAATGCCCTAGACTGGACCCCTGTCCTATGTGCACATTGCCAGGGACATCAGAGTTGTCCGCAGAAAGGACTGCCACCTTCCCCGTCCCCTCCACCCCAAGCTGTGACTGTGCCCAGAGGCCCCGGGCCCAGCCATTTACCATCCTCCTCGCCGCAGCCTCCTGTCGCTCTTCAGTGTGTGGCTGACGCTGGAAAAAAATGCCACAGTCAGAGTGGGGGAGAGGCGTGTCTGCAGGGGACCCGAGTTGGAGGTAGTGGGACGAGAGGGGCTCAAGGCTATACGTCTTCACCCCAGACAATCGATCAGTTTGGGTGACAGACTCTGCTACCTCCGTTCCCTACACTGGGCCGTCCTCCCACTTGGAAAATCCTTCCACTAGCCGGACCTCCCCATCTTTACTAGCCCTCTGTCTTGCCTTGATTTCCAGCACCCAGCCTCATCTAGCCCAGCAGAAGAGGTGGCCTCTATGAAGGGACGGTCCCTAGCGAAGGACGTTCCCCATACCTTTCCCTTTGACCTCCAGCCGGCAGTCCACAGATGCCTCCCCTAACACGTTGACAGCCTTGCAGGTGTAGACCCCGGAATCAAAGGGGCTGGGCTTCCGGATCTCCAGCGTGCAGACGCCTTGCTCAGAGAGGGCGCGGTACTTGGGGTCACCCTGGATGTTCATCTTGTTTTTCATCCAGATGATCTTGGGCTAGGGGGGCATGGTCAGAGGAGAGCTGAGGAGGTTGTGGGCTGGAATGGGCTTTGAAGTTGCTGCCTGGGAAGATTCCCCATCCCCCCTGCCCCCACCCGTCCAGGACACAGGGGGGCTTCAGCTCTAACCTTGGGTGATGCTCGGACGCTGCAGAAGAGCTGAGTGCTGTAGCCGGGGGTGGAGGTGTGGTCAGCCAGGGGCTGGGTAAATGAGGGGGCTTCGGAGAAGTCTCGCTCCACAAACTCCTTAGGTTTGGCAACAATATCTGGGTTCAGGGGATAAAAGGGGGCAAATTTGAGATTCCAGGAGTAGACCTCTAAAACTGACTTCATCCATCTTCCTAAAATAATCACTGTAGCTTACATTTAGCTGTCTTATTTAATCTACATGGTGTCCCTCTGCAAGACCGAGTTTGTTATTACTACTTGACAGATGGGAAACTAAGGCCCTTCACGGATGAGTGGCTTGCCCAATATCACTTCGGCAATTTGGGGCTTAAAGGGTAGACAATCGCGTGATGACCATGGTTCTCTGGGCAGAGAGCTGGTGGTTTGGAGGATGATCTTAGCATCAATGAGGGCAGGAGACAAGCTATTTCATTGTTGCTGTGGGGAGCAGGAGCTCCACAGCAGGACCCCAGGCTCTCGGGGAGCCAGCCGTGGCCAGTGTGTGGGAATTTAGAGACAGAAGGCCTCAGAGAGGCAGAGGAATGCCGGCACCGTGCCTGGGTGGGTCAGGGAGAAGACAGAGAGGGCAACGGGCAGGAAGACTGGGTAGATGAGATGCTCTTGGCTGAGGCTGAGGACTTGTAACCGAGAGACACCCTTCATTTCTGTTCGTCTTTGGAGACCTGACTGGTTTTCCTTTTTTAAACAAAAATGTCTTCCTAGCTCTGTGCAGCACACGCTGGTGTTAAAAATTTGCGTGTGCTTTCCCGAGCCCACACAGACTCCGCGGTGGGGGGAGAGGAGGCCCGGAGATCGCAGGGTGACAGGGAACAAGGGTTTGACATTTCATATTTGACGCAAGCATGTCACAGGGCTGTGTGGACACAGTAAATACCCCTATCTCTCTTGTCCATCTCTGTGGTGTTATATGAAGGTCAGAAGGCTTATGTTTGAGCCAATTCACCAGACTCTACCTCCCCATGCATCCTACCCCCCAGAGTAGTTCCCTTGGGACACCATGCGTGAGCCCTTGTGACCCCTGTGACGTTGGCAGCCACCAGCAACTTTGGAATAAGCGCGAAGCCTCCTGGGAGGCACGTCTCCTTCCCGTGGGTTTGCTCTGATGTGTTTGTTAAAATCAGTCCACCACATGCACTTCTGTACCGTCCCTTGTGGGAACGGGTGAGCATGTGCATTGCTGCGGAGTCGGGGCACAGAGGGCAGAGGACACTCTGGCGAGCCGCACCCACGAGAAGCCCACCAGGAGGGGTGCTGATGCCCCAGGACAGGCCGAGCCCAGCAGGGGGCAGGCAGAGGGGGTACGTCAGGCAGGCCTGACTTGGTTTTGGTCCCAGGCCCAGACCCACCTGCCTTCTGGATGCAGGCTAGCTCCTTGGTGGTCGCGGCTGAGGTGCTGAGCCCGCACTGGTTCTCGGAGAAGACCCGAAAGGAGTAGGCGTTTCCCACGATGAGGTCAGAGATGGTGCAGGTGGTCGGGTGGTAGCGCTCCAGCACCGTGAACCATTGCTGCGGGGACCCCGGCCCGGTCATCCTCTCCTCTGACCCCTGCCCTTCCCCTCCCAGCTCGCCCTGCAGCCCCTTCCTCAGAGGGGTTCATTCCATGCCTTATCCCAAAGGAGCTGAGCCATCCAGCTTTGGGAGAAGGGGTCCCTGGAGCACTCAGATGACCTCACTGGGGTCCTCGGAGAGTTCTAGATTCTTACTGCTCCAAGTGTGGTCTGAGGACCTGCTAAGTTAGAATCACCTGGGACCTCCTGGGAGGTGCGGGATCTCAGCGCCCGCCCTAGACCTACCAAGTTAATCGGCATTTTAGCAAGATTCCCAGGTGACTCATTGGCACATTACACTTCCAGAGGCACTGCTCTAGATCTGGAAGGGCCTCCCAGAGCCCCCCTTGCAGTCTTCAGGAGGCAACTGAGGCCCACAGAGGAAAGGGATCTTGCTAAAAAGCCGTAAGAGGAGTCAGGTTAAAGGTAGTTAGACTAGAACTTGGTCCCTGGACTCTTGGAGGGCTGGACCTTCCTGGCCACCTTGGCCACTTCCCCCAGCCCCGCCCCACTCTGGTCCAGCAGGCCTCACCCCTGTCTTTTTGTCTGCCTTCTGCACGGTGTAGCCCAGGAGCTCTGTGTTGCCTGTGTCCTGGGGCGGTGTCCACTCAAGGGCAGCGTTGCAGCCCCAGACGTCCAGGATCCGGATGCTGCTGGGGGGTCCAGGTTTCTCTGCAGGACCAGAGTGCGAAGACGGGATGAGGGGCAAGTCTGGGCTTGCTGCAAATTCCCCACACCCACGATCTGGCTCCTGTCACACTCCCTGGCCTGATCCCGTCAGCCATCAGCTCTGGGGTAGGAGGTGGGGTCTCTGGGTCCCATGCAAGACAGCCCTGCCTCCCCTGGTCTCATACCAATCACCAGGATATCGATGGCTGCCTTCGCCTCCAGGCCTTCCAGACGCACAGTGAGCTCGTAGCAGCCGGAGTCGGAGCGCTGGGCTGAGCGGATGAAGAGGATGGAGTCCTGGTCCCCGGTGCGCACATTCACCCGCTGGCTATCCAGGGCGTGGCCATTATGGGTCCAGGAGGCCTGAGGCTTGGGACTCCCCTGGGAGGGAGGAGCTCTCAGGTGCAGGAGATGCCAGCATCCCCTTGCCCACTCAAGTCCGGGGACCTCCGGAGCTGGCCCCATCAGCCTTTCCCAGGAGACGCAGGTGCTGCTCACAGCCACCCTCTCCAGCGGTCCAGCCAGCCCTAGGACCACCCATCCACAGGCTGGAGAATCACAACTGAGTCACGTGTACAATGGAGGGAGGGTGAAGCTCCCTTGGTGGGTCCATGAGGACCGACCCCCATGAGGATCCTGACATTTCTCCCTCGGACATGCCTCAAGTAGGGACCCTGAGTTCCATCCAGGCTGTTATCCTGGGCAGGGGCCACACTTACCTGGAAAGGGATTTGCAGGTTGACTGGCTCTCCCACCTGGCGGATGTAGGTCTGACGAAGGTGGCGGGGGACTCGGATCTTGGGGGCCTCTGCATCAGAGGGAGACAACGTGGGGTTTAGGACAACATGGGGTTACTGATTGGAGGCTACCATGGTAGGTGTAGGAAGCAAGCGGTGCGGGTTGCTGGCTGGGCAGAGGGGGTGGATCCTAGGTGTGTTCTGGGGCTGCCTGCTTGTGGGAAAGGCAAAGTTCACTAGTGGAGATCCCGGGGCCCAAATCCCCCGAGGCCCTTGGGGAGTTGAGAGCTGAGAGCTTCCAGGAGAGCAGGGCCCCCATGGTGTGAACTAGTAAGCATCCTGGGCACTCCCTTGGCGCCCTGAGCCTGCCAGGCTGGGATTTACTCTGCAGCCCAGGCATTCCTGGGCTCCAGATGGGTCCTGGCGGGCTCCTTGGCTCCCCCTAGTGGGGAGAAGGTGCTGCACCTGCTGGCCTGGGTTCTGCATTCTGTTCCTGGGAAATGTGGCCATGCCTTCTTCCTCCTAATCCAGCCCCCTCCATTCCACAGCAGCCCAGAACCTCCAGAGAAGCTCCTAGGAGATCCATTTGCCCATTTCTCTGTCAGGGGCCATATGGGAGGATTAGGATCTTTTCCCTTCTTAAATGAGGCTGGAGCAGTTGTACCCCCTTCACCTCTGTCACCCCTCCCACTACCTTTCAGTCTCACAGTTGGGAAGTCCTTCCTGAAATCTCACTTCAGTCCCATGCTAGGGCGGGGAGCCACCTTCCTGACTAATCAGATGCAAACACCAAAGCCCCTGGGCCTTCCAAGGGAGGCTGTAGCCGCCATCGTCCCCCCCGGGGTGGGGACAGGAGCAGGAGCGGAGGGGGCTGCTCAGCGGCAAACAGGTGGCAGCAGTTGGTCAGTGGTACACAGGCGGGAGGGGAGGAGGCGGTGAGAAGGAACACTGTGTCTCCGAGGATTAGCTGTGCAGGCATTTGGCCCCGGGAGTAAGGAGGCAGCTGCAGGGGGCCAGGAATGCTTGGCAGCTCCAGGTGGCTAAGAAGGGACAGCTGAGCAGCTGAGGATTCTGGACAAGGTCCCCACCCTGCCCTGCCTGTGAGGAGGGCCTGGCTGGTCCCCATTTGTTCATGGCCTCCTCTTTCCCCTCCCGCCCCCCCGCCCCCGTCTTCTCTCCAGGAAATCCCCTTCTCTCCTGCCAGACGAATTTTAATGGAGTCATGGGTGCTGAGTCTGGCTGGCTCCCTCCAGGTTGGGCCTTGGAGTAGAGGGCCCTGACCTCCGTACCCTCTCAGAGTCTGATCTCCTGGCATAGTTCCAGCACCTTCCCGGTCAGGAGGGCTTCCTGACACCTCCAGGCCAGAGCCCACCTGTCCATACAGTGGCTGCTCGCCCAGACTCAAAGGATGGGAGGGTCGCAGAGAAGACTCCCTGATACTTGGTGACACAGGAATGGTCCCGTGTGGGAGGCAGGTTCTGGAATTGCTGCTAATAGACTCAATGACCTCAAGGGAGTGCTTGGGTCCCTTGGGACCTGCTTGGCTTGGAGGGACAAGCTGTCACAGTCTATGATTCTAATCTCCCTGGCCCCATGCTTCCCACATCTCTTGGGCCCTGAAGTTGAGAAGTATTTCCTTGAATCCAAATGTGACCTTTCCTGTGGCTCTGAAGCCCACTCTTTTTGGAGGCTTTGTCCCAAACTCTGGGGGCCAGAGGGTGCAGGGGAACAAGAAGGAAGGTAGAGAAGGCCTCAGGCCACCTGCTGGCCTATATCTCTCTTCACCCTGGGCCCTGGGCTGTCTCCAGAGACCTCAGATCAGCCTAAATGACTCACTGCCATTAACAGACTGAAACCCGATCGGCTCCGGGAAGGGAGCAAGGGTAGGCTTGAGGCTAATGCACCCTGCAAATAGAACTCTTAGCAAAGGGACAGCAGCTGGCCTCCAAGGTCCCCCGCACACTGTTGCCCTCTGGGGATGGAGACCCTTCGCTGGCCTGCAGGCTCTCGTCTTTCTCCCACTAGAGACGTGGTGGGATAAGAGGCAAGCAAAGACTTCTCTCTGCTCCAAAACCTTTGGGAAGATCTGGAACCCAGTCCATAGGACACGAGCAGAAAAGGGGCAAAAAATGAGCTTCCCTGGTCGCTGAAGGGATTCCGATTAGACAGGCGGAAGAACAGAATGTCTCTTAGCATTGGGACGCTGAGGCAGGTGACCTGGGGAGCTTGAACTTTCATTTCTGGGGTTCTAGGAGCCCCTCTCAAAATGTCTGGGGGCTGGGCCGCTCGGGGAAATGGCCTCTTTGACCTCCAGAGGCTTGCTACTGAGGAACTTGGAACTTTCTTAAGGCAAGATGGTGATAGCATGTGGCTTGTGCACGGGAGAGCGGGATGGGGGAAGATGACTGTCCTGTTTCCTCTGTGCCTTAGCCTCAAGTTTCCCTACCTATCACATAAGGTGCCTGGGAAGGGCTGGGGAGCAGGAGGTGAAAGGATGGGCTTTACCGATGATCTTCTGGATGTGGACAGGCTGTTCTAGCACAGCTGGCGGGCCAGTCCCCGCAGAGCTCACCGCAGACACACGCAAGAAGAACTTGTCCCCCAGAGCCAGGTTCCGCACAGTCAGCTGGGTCACCATCAGGGGCCGGGCGTTCACGGGCACCCACTCTGAGGCTGGAGAAATGGACAGCAGGCAAGGCCCCGGCTTCATGACCACGGGCATCCGTCACAGTGGGGCTTTTCTCCTCCCTGGTGATCTGGGGCAGCTGACCTCCCTCCCTGGGCCTTACTTCCCCCTTGCTCTCCTTCCCTGACTTCTTGTCAAACGGTATCAAAGATACCCGGTGTGAGAACCCTGGAACGGTGCTCAGAGAAGGTATCGCTAGAGTCTGGAGAGGGTTTAATGAGTCTGACACATTTGCCAAGTCACACAGCAAGGTAAGAGCAAAGGCGTAAGCCAGGCTGAACTTGGCCACCATGGAGGTGAACAGGACAGTGACAACAGGAACTGAGCCACTGCCCTGGTTCCCTGTTCCTCTTCACTGTCTTCTCCTCTTAAGTCTCCCCACTCCCAGCTTCTCTGTTCTCCCCTCCCACTTGCCCTCGCAAGCAGGGTCCCCCAGGATTCAGCATCTCCTTCACTTCTCATCAGGGCAGCACCCCAGAGGCCCCGACCCTTCTCTCCCTGTTACTCACTCGGAGGCTCCCTGGAGCTAGGGGATGGGGGTGGGGGGGTCTCCCAGGGGGGTGTCATTTGGACACCCCCCTACCTCAGAGATCCATGGGGTGAGCAAGAAGCGGTGGGTGAGAGGGTTGAGGGGACCACTTGCACTTTCTTCTTCAGTATGTCCCCCCCAGACTGGCCCAGCTGCAGGGACTGGCGCTTGTCGTCACGACACCCGCAAGCCCACCTCCCCTGGGGGTACACAGGGCTTAGCCCAGAGCTCACCTCCCTCTCGGCAGAGCTCCAGCATGTAGCCCTGGAGCCCCAGCCTCCCTAGGCTCTCCGGTGGCTCCCAGCTCACGGTCACCGAGCTGTCGCTCACATCCTCCAAGGCCAGCAGCAGTGGGGCGCTGGGCACGTCTGATGGAGAAGTAGGGGGAGATGAGGAGGTCTGTGGTGGAGACCTCTCCCCCACCGCACTCCCTGCCACGCCTGCTTCCCTCCTCCACCTGGCCCGCCTCTTGTCACCTTCACTTGGAGGTGCGGGTTTAGTGGCTTTGGGGGCCGTGGGGGCCGTGGGGGCGGCAGGGGCCGGGGCCTGAGAAGCAGGCTCCGGTAGTGGCGTGGGAGCCCATTCTTCCCCAGCAGACTCCAACGCTGCCACTTCTCCAGCGGGCTCTGTGGTGGGTGCCTTGGCCGACTTAGAGGCAGACTCCTCTGGACCACAGTCGGGGGCCTCCGAGGTGGCTTTCTCAGTCATTGCCGGGCTGGCTGGCGGTGGTCAGGCTGGAGTGTGCCGGGGTCAGTGGGGGAGGAGCTGGGCCTCCGGGGTGCCAGGACACCGAGGTCCAGGCTTATATAGCCAGGGCAGCCCCACCCCCAGCCAAATGATGATTCCCAGCTGTGGGGTCAGGTCAGGCAGGAGGACCGGGGGGCAGGGAGATGCCTCGGCCAGGAATAGCTCTGGGGGAGGAATGCAGGGTCCCTTGAGGAGCACAGTAGCTCGTCCATCACTCCGACTGGATCTCAGCAGCCAGGGTGTTGGTGCCGGGAGAGGAAGACGGCCCAGATGGGTGAGAAGGGGCATTGCTGAGAGCCGGTGCCAGGGTTTAGGGCAATGGGGACAAGAGCTTCCATCTGGAGAAGGAACCCAGATCACGCTTTTTGTGGTTGGTCTCTGTGGAGCCTCTTGGCCCCGGGGCTTCTCCGCCTGGGTGCTGGGACCCAGACAGCCTGAAACAGTCTTCCCTGGGGAGCGCTCCCAGCTTTGTTTCTGGGATCCCACACTCCCCTCGGCCTCCCATGCACTGGACACTCTCCCATGTGCTGTGTGGGGTTGAGGGTTCTAGAGCAGGAGGGGATTGCGATATCCAAGGTGGGTTGGAGGAAGGTCTTCCAGCAATGGGACCCCAGGAAGGGGACCTAAGACCCCCGGTTACTGCTTTTGCTGGAGAGGCTGGAGAAGACCCAGTCTCCCCAATCCCTGTGACAACCCCCTAGCCCTTGGCAATGAGATAAAGTCATGAGGCAGAGCTGGAAGGGACCCCAGAGGAAGACGGCACTCTGAAAATTCTAGGCTCTTCGAAGCGGGGGGTGGGGGGTGTCCAGGGGGTGTTATGAGGCAAGTACAAGCAAATGTCGACTCATGGATTCATTCACCCAGTAAAACGTTCTGACTGGTAATCATTTAACAAGCTGGAAAATACCAGGTTTCAGGGAGGAGGGGAGGCGATGGGAACAGTCATTGCGGGTGGGAGCAGCAGTCCAAGACACCCCTTTGGAGAAAGGGTGATGGGATCTGGTAAAAATGGGAAATGGGCGTATCTGTGACCCAGTAGTGACAGCCCTGGAAAGTGTCACCCGTGCCCAGGAGACACGCATGCAAATGTGCGCAGCAGTGTTATTCGTAGTAACCCACACCTGGGGAAAGCAGCTGGCCCTCCGCAGCTCCCCGTGACCACGTGCCCACCACCTATAATCCAAACTACGGGACAGGACGAGCCAACTGCAGCCCCAGGCGACCTTACGGATCTAACAGTTTCACGGTGCACAGAAGGAGGAAGGCTCAAGAACCGTGGGACCTGGTCCATCTTAAATTCAAACGCAGGCAACCCTAGGCTCTCTTCTTCCAGGGGTTTCTGTAGGTGGTGAGATGCTGAAGGGAGGCAGGGGAGGTCAGGAGTGGCTGCCTCCAGATGGAGGACAGGGTGTCTGTGCTGGTGGGATTTTGGGGGACACTACTAAGGTTTCACTTCTTTTCCTGTGGTGGGGGTTTACCCAGGTTTTCACCAGTTAGTAATTCTTTTTCTTTACTTTTTTCTTTTAAGATTTTATTTGTTTATTTGACAGAGAGAGATATCACAAGTAGGCAGAGAGGCAGGCAGAGACAGAGGGGGAAGCAGGCTCCCCGATGAGCAGAGAGCCCGATGCGGGGATCGATCCTAGGACCCTGCGATCATGACCTGAGTCAAAGGCAGAGGCTTTAACCTACCGAGTCACCCAGGAACCCTGCACCAGTTAGTAATTCTTTAAATGAAACAAATCCATTCTGTGCCCTCTTTAGCATGTATCATACATCCTGACATTTAAAAGTAAACACACATGTCATTTATTCACGGCCCTTGGCCACACGCAGCCTCTCCCCCTTCCCTAGGCCTGGCCACACAGGAGCGTGGCTGCCTTTCACGGCTGGCTGTCCTCGCTGTGGAGTGGCAGTGGAGGGCCTGGGTCCGGCCCTGCCTGGGTGTCCATGCCCTCTGCCAGGTGACTCAGTGTCCTGCCAGGCAGGAGGCGGGCCCTGGAGACCCGATCCCAATCCCTGGCCTCTGACTCCGCAGCTATAAGTGAATGTGACTAACTGCGGGACCCTGAGTCAGCCCTGCAGAGCTTGTCCCAGGCTGGGGGAAGGGCGGCTCTAGGGAGGAGGAGGGGTGTTGGCTGTCCTGGAGGGCTCATAGCCCCGGGAGTTTTGAAGACCCTGGTGTGGTGGGATGGGCAAAGAGCGGAGATTGGGGAATTCCTGGCCCCATTGGTCCGTGATGAAATGCCAGGTACCACCCTGAGTCTCTGGCCAAGTTCTTGCTTTCATTGCCTTTAGCAGGGCTGTGACCTTGGGATCAGCTGCATCTGTTCAGCTCCAGCTGGTTCAGATTTCAGGGTGGCCAATAGGTACTTCCTTCCCTACCCCTCAAACTAGTGTCACAGACCACTAGGCCAAGTCACGGATGGTTGGAACATGAGGGAATCCGCACATAAATTCTCTTTGATTTTGAAGTGTGCCTCTGGACTCTGGACACAAGGCAGGCCTGGGTCCCTGGGAACTCTCTACCAACCAGATGAGAGCATTTCTACATCATAAAGGCTGGAAGACCTGTCGGTCTTCTGAGCCCATCCGGTCTCATCTGTATTCCCGGCCCACTTGCCTGCCACCTCATGTCCCCAGGCAGCCTGAGCACAGCAGCCTCGTCCCTGCTTGGGTTGAGGACCGAGTATGTCCCTTGGGAAACCGAGGGTAGAGCACGAGGAATCTGACTTATTTCAGCCCAGCCATGGAAGGGGCTCCTTCAGGTCATGAATCACCTACTGGTCTCTGGGAGTCTCTGAGGAACCTGGACGGCCATGTCTCAAGCCCCCTGCGGAGGCTCTGGGCCTGGGCTGGAGGGAGGGTGCAGGAGGACACAGGGGTCTCCTTCTAGCCCTGAACGGCCAGGGTCAAGGCTCTTTACCTGGGCCCTGGGTTGGCTCCCTACCCCTCCCAGGAACTCAGAGGAGATGAAGGGTTAGATTGTGGTTTCCTTCCTCCTACCTGCTGGCCTTCAGGAAATAGAAAAGTTTTCTTTCAGTGAGGAACTACGTCAAGAGGTCTGGACTACCGTAATATCTGGAAGGCCGTGGTCCACGGCGGATGGATCTGAGGAGGCTGGCCTCCTTGTGGGGACTCTCTGGGGCCCAGCAGAAGCCAGGGTAGCATCACCTTCTACACCTTCTACAAGCTCCAAACCCCCAGGCCCAAGAGAAGAATCCAGAAGAGACGAGGGAGGGAAGCCCAGGGGGTCCCATGGGGCCACAAAGAGCCCGAAGCAAAAGCGCCAACATGTGGGTAGCCCTGGGTTCTGGAGCTTTATTGAGCAGCAGCTGCAGAATTAGCAAAGGGAAGCGGGAGGGGCCACGGGATCCCATTGCTGGGTGCAGGCTTCAAGTGGGGCTTTGCGGAGGGTGTAATTAGTGTGGTGGCTACTTCGTGAGAGTTGTTTGGCTGCTCGTGCTGGCCAAAGTGCCCTTTGGCAAGGAGACCTGGGGGTAAGGGAGTCTAAGAAATCTCCTTGTGTAGGGCTGGGGTCATGGGGCATTTTCACAAGTCAGCAGGCATGTGCTGACCCTGTGTCTTACAGTGTGCTGGCCCCCGCGGCCTTAGCCGCCCACGGCCCCACCTCTGCCTGCTGGTCCCCTGGAGCGGAGCTCAGACGGCTCCTCTGTGGCCGTCTGCGTGGGGTCCAAGGGAGGGAGACTGAGGCTCAGTCAGGCACTCCACAGGGCGGGCTGTGAGGCTCTGGGCCACAGGGATGCCCCCTAACCCCACGGTGTGCAAGACAGAGGTTAAGCTGCGATGAGCGCGTCCTTGATGGCGCCGGTGAGAGGGAAGTGCACGCCTGTGCCGCAGAAGGCACCCCGGAAGTCATCCAAGTCCAGAGCCCACACCATGGCGCCGGCCAGCTGCCTGTTTCTCAGGTACTGCACCTGGCAGGGCAGACCCAGAGGGGGCAGAGCTGGCTTCCTGGGGCCAGAGTGTGCATGGGGCGAACGTGCTGTCTGGGCCCCTGCCTACGGGAGGGAACAGCAGGCACCCGAGACCTGAGCCACCCCTCCCCCATGACCCAGCACGGGGCGCCCTCGGGTGCAGGGGACCTGACTCTGGCTGCTCGGAGCAGGCCCTCCCTCTCCCTCTTCATCCTGGGACATGGCCTGGAGAACCTACCTTCTTTTGGACGCTCTCTTTGTCATCGTACCCCACCCACTGGTTGCCCTTGGTGGCATAGGGGACCTGCTGGTCAGTGAGTCTGTGGACCGTGGCTTGGTGGAGGAAGTCACAGATCTGAGCAGAGAACAGGGCAGGGTGGCGTGGAGAGCTGGGTGAGATGGTGCAGGTCACCAGGGAGAGGCCAGTCCCCAAACCTCTTTCAGCCCCTTGCTTCACACCCACCCCCACCCCGCTCAGGGCATCCCTCTAGCCCCCAGACCCCAATCCTCATGCTAATGTATGTAAACCAGATGCAAATGTCCCAGGGTTCTGGGGGTACCGTAGCCGGAGAGCACGAAGGGGATTCTGGTTTGCCTCTGGCATCTTAAACAGGGATGTGGGAAATGAGGGGCTGACATAAGGACTGGCCTGAAGTGATACGGAGCGGCAGAGGCAAGGGTCCAAAAAGAACCTGCCTTGGGCTGTTGCTCTTTTCTGGGCTGGCAGGAAAATCTCAGCTAGGGCCCGAGGGGTGTCTGGGAGCTTGGTGGTACAGAACGGGTGTGCCAGCAGGAGGCTTCGTAGCAAGAGGCCTGACTTTCCCCCTCCCTCCTCCTCAGGGTGCTAGGTTCCCCAGAATATATGTTTTTATTCCCAAAGAAACAAAAAGGGGTGGTGTGGGAGGCTCCCCCTCAGGGCCTCTCCCTAGCTCATACCTCATAGTAGGCCAGGGTCCCTTCCTCCTTGGTGAAGATGCCTGGCAATCCGGGCCCTGAGATTGGGGCCCCCACACCGGAATTGGAGGAGGCCACGGTGAAGCTCCTTCCAAAGGTCGGGATGCCCATCACCAGCTTGTCCGCTGGGGCCCCCTGCCTCAACATGTAGCCCACTGCATAGTCCTGGGAGGGGAGGGGAGAGCTGTCAGTGGGGCTGCGGGTGCAGGGCGGGCAAGACCCGACAGTTCCCACCGCCTGGACAGGTGGAGCTCCAGGGGTGCCTGGTATCTAGGACTCGCTTCCTTCTGGGAGCTGATAATTGCAGTCGAAAATGCATTTTGTAGCTGCATTCTTGAAAAAACGGTCTTAGGTACTGGAAGCGATTGTTACTATCGGCAGCCAATCAGGTGGTTGGCTTAGGTTACACACCAAGTGCAAGGCTGGTCTAGACCAGACTCCTGCCTCTTCCCTTCTGCCGCCATGGAGCACTCGCAGATTTTGGGCCTCAGTTTCTTCATCTGCGGAGTGGGCCCCATAAGCCCTCCCTTGAGGGGCAAAGGGTTGGTGTGTCAGCACTGGCAGGTGGCGGGTCTCTGTGGCCCCCTCCTGGCCAGCCACCCTCTCCTTCCAGACACTCACAGCGTTGTTGAATCTGTCAGAGCTCGCATCCATCTGGCCTCGGAACAGGGGGCTGTGATGGCCTGTGGTCTGACGCCAAGCTCCGTGAAAGTCATAGGTCATGAGGCTGATGAAGTCCAGGTGTCTGGAGAAGAGAGGTCAGAGGGGGAGGCAGGGAATTAGAACGGCTCTTAGCCTCACATCCATCACCCCAGCACGAGGGGAGAAGGGCAGGCAGGCGACCCCGAGGCAGGCCCCGTAGAGCCCTGCGGTCCACTGTCCGGGCTGCCTGGCCTCTTCTGCCGTGCCATGCCCTGCTGGATTTCCTAAAATCTGTGTCTTCAAGTCCACTGAGACATCAGCCCCGTGAGGCTGTGAATTGCTCATCTCCACGTGCGGGAGAGGGCTGGGAGAGGAGCTGTGGACAGGGGAGGGTCGCCTGCATGTGTGAAGGCACCTGGAGGCATCTAGCAATGAATGCAAAGTGTTATTGCTGCTTCACTGTGTCTCCAGTGACTAGCGGGGTGGTGGGGCAGGGGGCATGGGGACATGCCTGGAGCAGAGGAAATGCCCCGAGGTGGCTGGCTGCTTTGTATATAATTTCCTACTTCCTTTTCCACAAATGCATTCAGAGAAACTCTCTCAACGCATTAACACAATATCCCATATGAAAACGGAAGGATAGGGGCGCCTGGGTGGCTCAGTGGGTTAAAGCCTCTGCTTTCGGCTCAGGTCATGATCCCAGCGTCCTGGGATTGAGCCCCACATGGGACTCTCTGCTCGGTGGGGAGCCTGCTTCCCTTCTTCTCTCTCTGTCTGCCTCTCTGCCAACTTGTGATCTCTCTCTGTCAAATAAATAAATAAAATCTTAAAAAAAAAAAAAAAGAAAACGGAAGGACAGGGATTATAGTGCCCCATTTGACAAACAGGGAGACTGAGGCATGGAGTGTAGAAGGGACTTGCTCAAGGCCACACACCCAGTTTTTGGAAGAAAGGGGCTAGAAGCCCAGTCTTGTGACTCCACATGGAGTGCTAGGGCAGGGTGGGGCGGGAGACTCACGGGGATATCTGGGTGATGTCGTAGCCACTGTCGATGGTCACCTTCCCCGCGGACAAAGCGGCACTGAGCAGCAGCTGCTGCTTTGTTTCCTCCTGGGCTTCCCTAGCGAACTCAGCCTTCATTTCCTGTTTGGTAGGGAGGCAGGTGAAGGACAAGGGCCCCGGCTGCGTGTGAGGGAGCCTTGTGACAGAGGCCGAGGTCTCGGAGCATGTCATTGACCTTCCCTATCTGTGGGAACCCTCACCCTGACTGGGTTTTAGGGGGAATGCTAGAGCGGCCAATGGGTGGTCCCACTTTGGGCTAACCCACCCTTCTCCTAAAAAACTGCTTGGACCGGTCATGTCCCCACACCCCACACATACCCATCAGCATTGAATTGCTCCCTGTCCCGGGAGGGACCATGAGGACTGATGGTGGTCCTCATTGGCCCACAGATTGTGTTGGAAAAGATTTGTTTTTCAGTCTGTGTTTTGTTCATGCCAGTACAGGAGACCACAAAATTCAAGTGGTCTTTAAATTTATATCCAGTTGTCTTTAAAATTAAAATGCTGTTGGTGCTGTGGACAATTCGTTTAGATAGTCCCTCTGCGCCTGTGGTCATGGAGACGCTTGGGCTGCCCTCATCCGAGGGGGCCACGTGTCCCCAAGGCTGTGCGTGCTAGTGAGTGGCATCTGTTTGGAACCAAACAGTGGGTAATGCCGCTCCCCGGCTAGGTGGGCGCTCTGCTGAGTGACCTTCTGCCTCCACGGACCCCACCGCACCTCCCACCACGGTCACAAGACAAGCCAGTTTGGCCTTCCCCCATGGGTCCCCAGACTCTGCAGCCTGGAGGCCTCAGCACCCCCCTCCACCTGCCCTCAGGGGACCAGCTGCCCAAGACAGCTCCTGCCCACCTCGCTCCCGCCCCAGCTTCCCCCGCACGGCCAGCACCTTGACCAGCATGGTGAAGTAGCTCTTGTCTCTCCGCCCAGGGTGGAGCCAGGCCAAGTCCAGCCCGTCGAAGCCGTGGGTTCGCAGAAACGGTGGCACCGACTTGATGAAAGTCCTGCGACTCCCGGACTCGGATGCTATTTTGGAAAATCTAGGGCCCGAATCACCCCAGTGGAGTGCTCAGTGCGGACAGGACGGTGGTCTTGGGCATCTCAAGGGGTTTCTGAGGCCTGTGAAGTGGGGGCCTGAATCCCGAGTTCCAGAAGGGCGTGGCTGGGACGGGACCCACCTCCAGGCATCTCAGCAGAGCTCTGGAGCGGCCAGTCCCGGGTTCCAGGCCCTGCACTCACGCCCACTAGCCAAACAGCCTTGGAAGGGTCATAACCCGCATCTCAGTTTCCTTGTTGGTGAAGTGGGGATCATTAGCGTGTCTCACGGTGCTGTTGTGGGGTTCCCTGTGATCGTGGCTGGATGGGGTGCCTGATGCCGAGCAATCACCCAGTAAGTGGGAGCAAGTAGGGCCATGACTTGCCCCCTTTTTGGGCCTGCTCCAACCCTACCCACCCCAGGGCACGCCCCAAGGCTCTCCACACTCCCCAGTTTTCCATTCCTTCCCTCTCTCTCCTTCCAGACCTAAGGGCAGTATCTCCCAGAAGTTCTGTGTTCTCAGGTCTGAGAGGCAGTAAGTGGAGCATCTGTAGGGAGTCAGAAGACCCACCGGCAATGTACTGTGTGCCCCCCTCTCTGGGCTCCGGTTTCTTCGCTATACATAGGGTGCCCCCTGACAACCATTTGGGCCCCCATGCCAAGCCTGTCTGCAGCCCCTGTGGCCCTCTCCAGTGGGTAGGGGAGACCTATGCCTCCTCCCCCATTCCATCATCCTCTGGGGATTGGGTCCTACCTTTGAGAACCAAAGTTCCATCCTCCAACGGATAAGAGGGTCTTCAGGTTGGGGTTCCTGTGGGGCACAGGGAGTGAGGAGGGCCGGGTGGAGTGAAGCTGTTGTAACATGGGCCGGCCCCATGGGTGGGAGGCTGTTGCAGGCTTCTAGCATTGAGTGGCAGGTCTTTTCCACCCTTGAGATTCAGGGTTGTAGGAAGCATGGACTTTGGGGGGGTTGCGGGTAACTCTGGGGTAGGCTGCCCGTTTTTATTTCCCCTGAGCGGGGAAGCCAGGAAATGGCAAAATAGGGTCATGAGTATTTTCCATGTTCCTTTAAGAGGTGCCCCTAGGGGGAGAGAGGGCTCCCCTTCCCCAGGGGAGCTCAGCTGGCCTTGCTCTACAGCCTGCCTCTGTCATCACTGGGTATGGCCCAGCACGTGCCCTCGTCACCTGCTCCCCACAAAGCCCAGGCCCTCCAATTCCCCAGCCAGGGTCCCAGGGACCATCACGTAGCTTCCCGAGCCCAGGCCCCCTGCCCTGGGACCAGCCAGCCAGTCTAGCCCTCCCCCCGCACCTCCTGTCCTGGCAGCCTGGGGCCCAACCTTAACTTGAGCATGTTCAGCGTGTCATAGAGGGTGACATCATTCCACTCCCAGGTGTCGATCTCGTTGTTGCTTATGTTGGCGAAGCTGTAGATGACGTGGGTGCACAGGAAGGGGTCGATGGCATCTGGGAAGCAGCTCCCCAAACTGTCCCTGTATTGCGACCAGCTGCTGTAGTAACAGACCAGTTTGTACGCAGAGCCTGGAGAAGAAGTCTGGGGTGATGCCAGAGCCAGGATGGAGCCGGGGACCTCTGGCTGAGCCCCGCACTGAGCCCTCATGGGGTACTGGGGGCCGGGATGTGAGCCAAGTTAGCTTTCTCAACACAAGGGGCTGTCTCGGTTCCCTCTGCTTCTGATGAAAATAAGGCCTATTCTGAAAATGTTTTGAACGATTAAATGCAGTGGGTGAATACGCCGCAGACTAAGGACAGGGCACCGTGTGTGGGGAGCATGGGGGCTGGTGAATAAAGGGAAAAGGGGACTCGGTGCAAGTAAAGAAGGCTTCCTGGAGGCAGTGGCTTGGCAGGAGAGGAGGGACCCAGCCCCAAACAGTGTCAGAAGACCCTGGTCGTCAGAGTGGAGCCTCGTGGAACCTGCAGGGGGTCATGGATCTGGGAGGCTCTGCTTCTTCTCTGCCTTCCTTCGGGAGTGTCCCTGACTTGTAACCCACCCAGAGGGGGCGCGGTCCCCAGTCCCCATCAGCCTGTCCCCCAAGCTGGGGCATGATCACAGCGGACCAGGAAGTTCTTCCTCTCCTCATTCCAAGTCCGCCTGCTGCAGATAAGCCTTTTCCGCCCCTCAGTTACAGAGGGAGTGGGTATTGCTCGCCCCCGCTGCCCCTGGGCCCATCTGCGGTGCCCACCAGGCCACAAGTCCAGGCCTTTAGTGGACCAGAGCCTTGGAATGGTTTTTCTTTTGAAAAATTTCAAATACACAGGAAAATAGAGGATAGTATCATAATCATCCGTATGCGTACGGCCTCGGTTTAACAAATGTACTGTTTCTGAGTCATTTGACGCACAGGAGAAACTGGAAAGTTCTCCCCGCTGCCAGGATCTCCTCCGCATCAACCATGTAAGGGGTACTTACAGCTCTGGAGCAGCACCAGGACCACGAAGCCTGAAGAGAAACCCAGAGTCAGAACCCCCTGCGAGGACCTCCTGCCCTCCCTTCTGCTGCTCCATCCCCCACCCGGGCCATCAAGGGGTTAACAGCCTCTGTGCTGCGGCCCCCTGGCCTGTTTGGGCCTCTCAGCCTGAAAACCCACAGCCAAGCTGGACTTGACCGGCCCCCAGACCTGTCTGAGCCGCCCTTAGCAGCATCCTGGCAGTGGAAGAGCGGGCCCTGGTGTGGCCGGGTCCTGAGTGCTCAGCTCCTACGTTCAGCCGCCGAGACAGGGCCTCTTTCCAGGGCCTCATGCTTCCTTTTTATACCTGTCCCCTTCCACTCCCACGAGCCCCCAGACATCCCATTTATGGGAACTGAGCTGTGTCAAGGAAGGAACTACAGACTGGGACGTGGCCGGGGAGGAGCACTGCGGGCCACCAGAAGATTGAGAAACCTTGGAGAGTTTTGGAAATTTGGGGCAGGTCTCTGGGAGGCATCTGCCACCCACGGGGTTGATGATCTGGTGGCTCCTGGTGAGTGACCCAGCCTCCTTCCCAGCCACCTTCCTCGTTGCCTTCTGCACCCCCCCACCCCGTCCTCCCCTCACTTTTCTGCCTGCAGTTCCCAGGCTTTTCTGGCTGCCTCTCGGTTGGCATCACCAGCCCCCCCACCCAGGCCCTCGTCCAGGTGGAAAGCTGGCACAGCTGAGTTCTGTAACCCGTAGTGCCCCAAACAGGCTGTTATTTACTTTCTCCCCAGGCCTGCCACATCCTGCCTGATTCACTCCCCCCTCAGACTTTCTTTCTCCAAGCCTGGTTCCCACAGCCTGGTTGCTGTGCTGATAATTTAAGGGAAACCAGGGGAGGAATGGAAAATTAATCCCCCCCCCACCACCACCCGCGACTGCTCTGAGGCCTGAAGCTGTTTTGCTTCCTTTTTGAAATTCCAGTTCCAGGGAGAGGGAGGTATTTTCCCGCAAGCCTAGGGCTGCTGCAAGGACCAAGGAGTTAATCCCTGCAGCTCCAGATTTCCCCCAGGAGCAAATAATCCCAGAAGGTCGAGAACCTCTGTAAGGTCTCTCAGTGACGCTTCTGACACCCAGACCTCACGATGTCACCACCCCCCCGCCCCCAAATCCTTGAATGACTCCTTATCATTGTCAGAGTAAGAACGGAACTTCTTAAGGAGGCTGTGCAGGCTTTGCCCTTTGTTTGGGGATACTTCCTTTGGCTAAAGATCCAGGGCAACTCCATTCTCCGCAGGCTGCGAATTAATGAATAGGCGGTGAGTGAACATTTCCAAACTCCAAGAGCCAGAGTGGGTCAGAGGGTTTCTTAGCAAAGTTCTTTTATTTGTACCCTAACGTTAAGTAATAATCCGACACTGGCCACCGCGGTTTCACAGACCTTTCTGGGTGAGTGAGGTCTCTCCCCTCCTCCCGCTCCTCTCCCTTCCTCTCTCTGTAAAACTGGAATGACTCCTCTTTACTGGTCGAGGGGTGGATAAGAAATGCTTTGTCCAGAGTCACTCTCTGCATACCAAAGGGTCACTGCCTCTCCCTTCTGAGGCGACTGCCTCCTTTTTGGACCCTACAGGGTAGACAGCAATGCCAGTCGACAATAACTTTTCCCTCATTCATTGCACGCTGAGAAGGGGACTTCCTCTAATCGTTAAAAGAGGTATTACAAAGTCACATGCAATAAAAATGTGTTCAGGGGCGCCCGGGTGGCTCAGTGGGTTAAGCCTCTCTCTGCCTTCAGCTCAGGTCATGATCTCAGGGTCCTGGGGTCGAGCCCCGCATTGGGATCTCTGCTCAGCAGGGAGCCTGCTTCCCCCACTCTCTCTGCCTGCCTCGCTGCCTACTTGTGATCTCTCTCTCTCTGTCAAATAAATAAATAAAATCTTAAAAAAAATGTTTTCATTACGGGGTGAAGTATGACTTCCAATTTTCAATCTTCCTTTGTTAAAAATTAGCGGTGAGATTAAAAAAAAACGCGGTGGAAACCAGCTGCTTTCTTATACGTTCTCATTTATGACCTATCTTCACTTGTTAGCCTCGTCAAAATCAGGGATAAAATTGTTTTTGTCAGAGAGCCCATACTTACGAGCCCATAGGCTCAGATTGGCGCAAGTCTTGTTGTCCTGTGTCCCTCTTCAAACCAGTTTATTAATTCCACATGTTCTATAGGAAAGTGGCATCGTCACAAAAAATGGCCAAGATATCCCTGTGCCAGCCTCAGCAGTACTGGCTAAGGGTCCCATGGCTCAGCCTCTCCCAGCCTCATCTCATGTCCCCCTCTTCCCTGCACTCCACCGATGCCTGCCTTCTTTTATATCCTTATATATGCTCTACCCTTGCCCACCACAGGGCCTTTGCATAGGCCATCCTACTTGCCTATCAACAACCGAAGGGCCTGAAGTTTTAAGCTGTTTGCAAACTAATGAGACAGCCAGTTTCCTGGATTCTGGCAGAAGACACAAGAATCCTAGGTCAGAGACAAAGGACTTATTTGCACAACAAGAAGCATGAATTTCATGTTTGTGTCATTTTCTGTGATGAGAAAGCAGCTACTTTGAATTGCGGTTTGGACATTTTCTAGTATGATAATGCTGTTCACACTCAGAGTCTGGACATTCAGATAAGGACCCGAGCTCAGATTCCTGCCACAAGTTCCTGCTTTGCTTTTCCTGACATACCTTTTAAAAGAACCGTTTACAGTTGAGCCTGTGAAAAGTTAGTGACCTCCACCCCAACCACCTTGTAGGTAATAGGTGCTTGCTCTCTATCTCCTGCCTCCAGAGGACCACCCTTCTTCCTGCTGATTACCATTTATCCTTGTTTCTGGGATTTTTAAGTAAAAAATCTTGTGACTTGACATTCCTCATGTGACAGTATAGAAACTGTGCCTCCAGTCAAAATGACCCCAGGGTTTTCACTTCCCCAGAATGGGAGCTCTGATGCTGGAGGTGCCACCAGCCGAACCCCTGGGGATGGCTTGTGCCTCTTTCTTCAGCAGGTCATAATCTGCATTTACTTCATTTAACACACAGCTACGGGCCCCCAACACACTTCCCTTGGCCCCACATTCCGGGGGTGGGCAGGGGTGACTTCGGAGCAGCCCAGGTGGGTGCTGTGTATGCAACGTCTTGCCCCACAGCAGAGGAACTCTGAGTTTAAGAAACCCAAAGCTTGTACAACGTGCAGAGAGCCTGCCTCTCCTTGGACCTGCAAGGAGACGTTATCTTTACTATATGGACAGTCAGTGAAGCTGCCTTTTGCTCCTGGGGAAGACACTGTTTCTTCCAAGGCTGTTTGCTATACAAATGTCATCAAAAAGGTACCCTGGAACAAAGACAGACTGGTCCTCTGCTCCTAGGATGTGCAGAAATGCAAGAGACCCAAGGGCAGTCGTCTCCCAACTCTGACCTGTGGTCATTTCACTCCTATTAATCCTTCAGACTGCAGGCAAGGACTCGGCCAATTCTTTTGAAGTTTATTTTTAAGTTCAAGTATAATTAACATACAGTGTTATATGAATTTCAGATGTACAATATATGATTCCACAAGTTTATGCATTAGTGCTCATCATAGTAAGCGTACCCTTAATCGCCTTCACCGGTTACACCCATCCCCCTGCCCATCTCCACTCCGGTAACCACCAGTTTGTTCTCTGTATTTAAGAGTCTGTTTTTTTATTTGTCCTTTGTTTATTTGTTTTGTTTCTTAAATTCTACATATTAGTGAAATCATATGGTATTTGTCCTTCTTTGATTTATTTCACTTTACATTATATCCTCTAGATCCATCCACATCATTGCAAATGGCAAGATTTTCTTTTATATGACTGAGTAATATTCCATTGCATATCTCACACACACGCACACACACACACACACACACACACACACGCAGTGGAGGAAAAAATATATATCTCATATCTTCTTGCTTCCATATCTTGGCTATTGTAAATAATGCTGCAATAAACATAGGGGTACATGTATCTTTTTCAATTAATGGTTTCATTTTTGGGGGGTAAATGCCCAGTAGTAGAATTACTACATCATATAATAATTCTATTTTTAATTTTTTGAGGAACCTCCATTCTGTTTTCCAGAGTGGCTGCACCCATTTGCATTCCCACCAGCAGTGCAAGAGGGGTCCCCTTTCTCTGCATCCTCGCCAACACCTGTTTCTTGTGTTGTTGATTTTGGCCATTCTGACAGTTGTGAGGTGGTATCTCATGGTGGTTTTGATTTGCATTTCCTGGATGATGAGTGACGATGAACATCTTTTCATGCGTCTGTTGGCCATCTGTATGTTTTCTCTGGAGAAATGTCTATTTATGACTTCTGTCCATTTTTAGTTGGATTACTTTTTTTTTTTTTTTTTGGTGCTGGGTTGTATCAGTTCGTTCTATATTTTGAATATTAACCGGGATTGGGTTAATTTTTTTCACTGTTGTGTCCATCTTTAATTATTGACATGGAGTAGATGCTTAGTAAAATACTCACTGAATGACTAGACAAATGAATGAATGAGTGATCTCAAGAATGGTCCATAACTCCAAACTCCTCTATTCTGAGTTTGAAACCTGATATTCATCTCATTCAATAGTTCTTGTCACTCTGAATAAGCCCCCATGTTATCCTGGTCATCCATGTACTCATCCGACCAATGCTTACCGAGCCCTCACAGGTGCCTTGCACTGTAGGGGAGGACAGAGACAGAAAGATGAGCGAGAATAGAGTCAGTCCCCATTCTCTTGAAGTATATGGTCTGTCAGAGAAGATGGACATTAAACAAAGAATCACATAGTAAGTTATTTATTAGAATTGTGAGAAGTTTACCAAGAGGGAGTTGGGAGACTGTATAAGTGGTGTGGGTCTTCGGGGAAAGCTTCCATGGGAAGCGATGTGTAAACAGAGGGAGGGGAAGGTTTCTGGTCTGGCTAAAGAGCATGTGAGGCAGAAGAGACAGAAAAAGCCTGGGATGGGAAGAGGCCGCCATGTTCCAGGAACTGAAAGACCTCAAGAGTGGTTGAGGCGGGGAGAGGAATGAGGGTGGCATGGATGGGGCTGGATCAGGAGCAGGAGTGTGGACAGAACAACGTCTCCTGGGACAAGTTCCTGGCCCCCTGGGGTGGTCTTTTGGGCATAACTGTTTTGAGGATCCCTTCTTTTCTCATGAGGTGTCAAATCAAACAGATGTGGTATTAACTTCCCACAAGATATTTGAAGGGGAGGTCCTCATTTTACAGGTGAGTCTTCTTCTCCAGATGTGGACTTCTGCCAGGTAGGAGTTCAAGTTCATTTCTAAATCCGCAGCTCCAGCTCAGTGCTGTCATTGGCTCTTGCCCGTGCCATCAACGACTCAGAGACAGAAGCACTCAGACAAGGGAACAATTACTTGGGAAAAGGGAAAAGGAATCAGACTTTAGGAAGAATGACTGGATCGTCAAATAGAAAACACAAGCATTTAGAGTGAAAATCGAGACGACCAAGGCTACAGTATTCACAGTGGAAACAAGCCACTTTCTTATACGTTCTCATTTATGACCTATCTTCAACTTGTCAGGGATAAAATTGTTTTTGTCAGAAAGCCCATACTTACGACAACCAGTCAAGGCTTGTCGTAAGCCCTGAACCAGTCAGGAAACCTGTTGTTTGGGTTTTTATCCTGATGCACTATGTCTGCCCCACCCCTCGCCTCCCCCCATCCCGTGTGGTGTACAGTCAGGAATCAGGGTCAGCTTTTGCTTCTACCAGTTTTCTTTCCTTGTGCGCAAGTTCTTGCCATTGAGAAAACTTTAAGATGATTAACACTCTTCCGACTCAACGTCATTAAATTAATATTTTGTTTCAGTTGATGAAAGTTTATTTCCATATGCATATTAAGAGGCATTGATTAATACATACATACTTTGTTTTTGTTTTTTAAAGATTTTATTTATTTATTTGAGAGAGAGAGAGAGAGCACAAGCAGGGGGAACTGCAGACAGAGGGAGAGGGAGAAGCGGGCTCCCCGAGAAGCAGGGAGCCCGGCTCTAAGCTCAGTTCCAGGACCCCGGGATCATGACCTGAGCCGAAATCAAGAGCCAGTTGCTCAATTGACTGAGCCACTCAGGTGCCCTTTACCATCTTTATTAGCATGATTTTCTCTAAGATTCCCCTATTTGTTAATAGTTCTGGCCTGCCAGGAAGTGAAATTTTTCACTTCCAGTAATGCTGGAATTTCTTGTCATAAGGCTTGCTC